TTGTCCTAGCTGGCCTCCAGCTTGCATTCCCTGCCTCAGCCTTCCCAGTATGTGGGATTACAAGCACTACCATGCCTGGGTCCTGTACCTGTTTTTATCCAGACTGGAATCCTTTTTGGTTTAGGCCAGGGATCTTTTTCCACCTGTCCTTGATAACCTCACCATTTACTATTTTCACTCATGCTGAGACAGGTGCCTCTTCTGGGTCCCAGTGCCTGTGTTCTCTCTTGTAGCCCCCAGCATGATGGACCGCTATGCTTTCTGCAGTCAGAACATTTGAGTACCCTTGAGTGACCTGTAGGTTTTGCATATCCTGCCTATAATTCTTTCCCCACAGGCTCGCACAGAGTTCCTAAGGAAGAAAGCCAGGCATCAGAATTCACTGTCTGAACTTGATGCAGCAGAGGCAGGAGCTCCAAGGTCTGGCCCTGTGGACCTGTTCCGGGATTTGCTGGAGGAAGGGAAAGGGGTGACCAGAGGCAATAAAGACTATGAGGAAGAAAAACGACAGGAAAAAGTAAGCTGGCTTCATCTGTGTCATCAGAGGGATACTGAAGAGAGCTGGGAGACATTTTGGTCCTGGGCTGTGACTGAGCATTAAGAAGCATAGTGAAAGAAATAATCACAGAACATTTGCAATAGGCTGGAACATAGTGCCTAGGACACTGGTTATTCCTGTGGGGCACTCACAGTTCTGGTTAGATGATGGAGGTGGTGCTGACGTTTTTTATTTTGGGGTACCAGAGATGGAACCCCAGGACACTCAACCCCTGAGCCACATCCCCAGCCCTTTTTTGTATTTCATTCATTGACAAAGTTTTGCTGAGTTGCTTAAGGCCTTGCTAAATTGCGAAGGCTGGCTTTGAATTAGCAATCCTCCTGCCTCAGCCTCCTGAGCTGCTGGGATTACAGGCGTGCAAAAATGCATCACCACACCCAGCTTCTTAAACTTTTAAAATGTGAATCAGACCCTGCCACTCTATAGCTCTCTGGCATTTCCATCATTCTGAGATTGTTATTCCCCAACCTTTACCACTGTGCTTTCAGCTGTCTCCCCAAAGCCTGCCTTTGAACTCAGAGAGAGCTCTGCCCCATCCTCCCATTTACCTGCTTGGTACTACATTTGCCACTGGTGCCTACATCAGGAGTTCAGCCTGTTTGTATTCGGCCTTAGCACATGATAGCTGACTGATGATTGGCCCTTGGTTTCCAGTGGTGGAATGACTGGTTATGTCTCCCCAGGGCCTTGTGCTCTGGGTAGGAAATGCCCTCGGTTTCTCTGTTACCACATCTAGAGCTCCCTGAGGAACTCAAGTTCTATCAACATCTCTTCTGTTTTCTGGCTCCCTCAGGAGAGGCAAGAAAAAGCGCTGGGCATCCTGACATACCTGGGCCAGAGTGCAGCAGAGGCCCAGACTCAACCCCCTTGGTACCAGCTCCCACCAAAGCGAGGGGGTTCCCCAACAGGCTCAGGCACAGATGAGAAGATCAAGAGCCGACTAGACCCCTTACAGGAGATGCAGAAACATCTGGGGAAGAAGAGAAGGCACAGCAGTGAAGAACGAGGTCACAACAGAAAGGGAAAAATGGAAGAATCTGAGAAGCAGCGGCCCAAACAGTAAGAAAAAGATAAATGCAGGGCAGACCATTCCAGACAGAGAACGTGGCAGTAGCCCTGCCTGGGCACCACAGCTGATATGGCAGGTGGGGTAGGAAGTAGTTCTCAACATGTGGTCCAGGGACCCCAAGTTCCAAAAAAGCCCTCTGGAGTCCTGTAGTGTCAAGCTGCTTTTTCATGATGTGAGATGTCTTTGCTCTGATTGCTTGATGTTATGAACACTTGCGTCCAAAATTTGTTTCATTTCTACTCCAGTATGTAAACTTAAAAACTGAGGAAATCAAAGATTTTTAAGAATATAAAAGGGTCCTGAGACCAAAACATTTGAGAATCACTGGGTTAGAGAATAAAAGCAGGCTTGTGTCCTCAAGATGCTAGATCCCAAGTGCAGGGGGCGTTTCCAACTACAATTTGATTTACCTCACAAGAGGAAACCAGTCCAGAGGTTTCCCTGTTCTCCCCAGGATGCTACTCTGCACTTGACCTCAGTTGGGGTGTGTGGGGTACAGAGGGCACCTGCTTTTAGGACTGGGGAGAATAGAAGCCCACAAAAGGGTGGGCAGAGACTTCCTCATGGTGTTCCTGTACCAGGTGGCTTCAAGAGCTGAAGCATCAGCCTGAGACATAGGGGCTCCTGGTGGTAGAGGTGAGAGGGCTGCCCTGCTTTCTGACCTTGCTTCTCTTCCCTAGGCCCCCATCCCTGGACCAGCTTCGAGCTGAGCGTCTTCGGCGGGAAGTGGCTGAGAGGGCTCGGGCTGAGGCCCTGCTGGCCCGGATCCAAGGCAGGGTACCCCAGGAGGGTCAGCCAGAGGAAGAGATAGATGATAGACGCCGGCGGTACAACTCCCAGTTCAACCCCCAGCTAGCCCGGCGGCCCCGCCAGCAGGATCATCTTGCTCACTGACTCCTGAGGGGGTACAGGAGAGGCTGTGCTGCCAGCCGTCATATAAAACTATTTATTCATAAATATTTTCCAAAATGAAAATAGGTTTACCAAAAAATGTCCCTCACTGGGGAGGGGAGGAGGGGGCAGCCCTCGCCCCGCCCCCCCCGGGGCCCCCAGGGTGGGGCTGAGAGGAAGAGAAAACCTCCCGGCCCTCTCCCTGCTTCCTGGGGGAGGGGGTGCCCCATGGCCTGGGGCCTCCCCAGTCTTCCAGGGCAGGGCCCTCACCTGGGCAGGGGGATCAGCATGCGGGGGAAGGGTCAGGTAGAGGGGGCCGGTGTCACTGGAGGTCCCGGTCCTCCAGGTAGCGGTACTCAAAGGTGAAGCCTTCCTTCTTCCGCTGGCCCCACTTCTCGTAGTCAAAGTAGATGTAGGTGCCCTGGCCAGGGGAGAAGGTGGTCAGTGAGTGTATGAGGTGGTGGACTGGGAGCTGGGTCAGACCAACTGCCCCACATGCACACGCAATTCCACTCCACCTCAGTGGTCTAGATAGCAAATGTCACCATGGTACAGGGGTGTGTGCACCCCAGTCAGGCCTCTACCCAGGCCTGTCTGTAAAGCTCCCCCTGCTTTCAGATGGCTGCAGCCGTGGAGCATCTCCCGAGTGCCCAATACAGATGTAAAGGCCTAGTGTGGAGTCTCCACAAAGAACCTAAGGCCACAGGTACCATCGCCGTTGCCTAGAGCTCCCAACATGCTCAGAGTCTACATTCCAAGTGCTCTGCAGGGACACTTTATTGTGACAGTGATAGTGTGGGAATTTCTAAATGACTGGATGCCCTAGAATGTACTGATGTAAAGGACCAAACTAGGATGGGACACAAAGTCAGCAGTCAAGCGATCAAGGTTGGAAAAGAGCTAGGTCCTGAGTGAGGGTCTGAAATGCTTCAAAGAAAGCAGCCTGGAGATCAGAGGAGCAGGATGGAATTTGGTGAGGACAAGGATCACTGAAGGGGCTTGACATCTGGGAGACATTTGTGGAGGAAAACCACTGTGGAACACACCAAATTAAAGTAACTTTAAAAAAAAAAAAATGTCCCCCAACACCACTGTGCAGCAGGCACCATTAGTACTTACATGTTATTAGCTCATTTCATCCTTGTACAACTGCGGGGAGGGGTCCTATTACCCCATTTTTACAAATAAGATGACAGAATAGAATAAGGGACTTGCCTGCCCAAGGTCAGCCAGCTGGAGCTGGGCTCAAACTCAGGAGGCTGACTACAAGATGTTTCCTAGGGGCTAATTGTTGGAACGTGAGAAGGCCACCTTGACAGCCTCCCTAGTGTCTGCTGAGCCCCTGCTGCTGGGTACAGTGGAGCCCACAGCCCGCTTCAGGGAGACATGTCAACTAGGACATTCACACTCCCAGCCAAGGCGCCTAGTGCCACACAGAAGAGACACAGGCTGCTGGCTCCAGGAAGCCTTCTTTGGGCAGGGACACTTGGGCTCAGTTTGAGCCTGTTTTGGGCCCAGTGTTTGGGTTCAGACCTAGAGCTCAACAAGTGAAGGATGAGAACTGGGATCCCAGGCAGAGCAATCCTGGTTAGTCTGCAGGTCTCAGCTGGCTGAAGAGTGGGAGTAAAGGAGAAAGCCAGCAGGGGCTGCCTGGGCTTGGGAATGCTAGCCATCTCTCAGTGGGACCAGGGTGGGTGGGGCCCTCACCTGCTCAAACTCATCGGTGATGGTCTTGGGCTCCTCGTGCCTCTGGAACCACATCATGTACTTGGTGTGGAATCGCCATGATTGCTTCTTTAGGGCCTTGGCTGCCAGGTACTGTGCTTTAGTGCCCTAGGGGAAGAAGGCAGGAAGAGGGGGATCAGGGGGCCCCCAAGCTGGGTAGGGACCAGGGGAATGGGGTGGGGCATCAGGGCTGGACCCGGGCCCCCACTACAGACCACAGTTGGGCTGGACAATCCGTTTGGAGACAGCGCTGGGGGCATGGAACATACCAATGTTGGTCAGGAGAAGAAAAATGAGACAGGAGGTGGAAATTGCTTTCAGAGAAGCTTTGAGAAGGAAGAGAAACTAATATATGACGAGAGCTCAAAAGAGAAAGTTTAGAGTACTACTCGGTGGGGATGAGGGGAGGGTACTCATGATGGGCTGGGGTCAGGAGGATGCTTGGGTTCCAAGAAGTCTGCAGGGATGCCTGAAAACAGGAGGTCCAAGACTAAAGGGCCTGGCTGAGGAGAGCTGGGAAGGGGCTTTGGGTCATGCCAGGGAGAAACCAAGTGGTCTGGGGCTGCCACTGAGGCCTGCCTCTCCCTCAGTCTGAGTAGCTCTTGACACCACTGGGCTGGATGGAGACTGGGACAGTCTTGGTTTGGGGGAGCAGGGCCCGGGACTGGGATAGGGAGGGGGGTGCGGTCCCGGTGGCCGCATTGGGGCACCCACCTCGCCCCTCCAGCCCGAGGGGGGACGGCGGCGGTGGCGGCGGAGCCGGGGGGCCCGAGGCTGCCCCGGGGGCCCTGCTGTACCTCCAGATAGTAGAAGATGAAGAAGAGCGTCTCAGTCGACAGGCGCTGATAGAACTCCACGGTGTCCGAGTGTGGGGGCGGCATCTGGTGGTGGTAGGGGGGCGTCGGGCAAGGGTTCCGGGGTAGGTACTGCCTGTGGAGCAGCAGGAGGTTAGTGCCAGCTGCTTTCTGGCTCCTGCCCCGATCTCAGGCCATCTGGAGGGAACCTGAGCCAGGCCTTCAACACTTCCTGGGGCCAGCTCACTTTTACCTACAGCCTCTCAGGACTGGGAGCCAGCTCCCCAGCTGTTGCCTCCTCCCTCAGACTCTGGAGTCCCTTCCCCCAGCCCGTTCTGTGGCCCCTCACCGGATGCGCTCGGAGTCAGAGGGGTGGGGCATATGGTGCCAGGCAGCCTCCTCCATGGCCTGCTGGTAGAGCTGCTCCTTGGTGAGGGGCACTGGCCCCAGTGGACACACACCCAGCGACAGTGGTATGTTCACCTCTGACAGTTGTAGGGGTGGCTGGGCTGAGGCCGGAGGTGCTGATGTGCTGCTCAGGATGATGTCTGTGGGGAGGGGTGGGTCAAGCCCTCGGATGAGGAGGATGGATGGGGCCAACCCCTTCTCTTTGACCTGCCCCCTTCTCCACCATCCCTGGACTCTTACCTCGCTCCGTTAGGTGTAACGTTGGCACAGGGTCCTCAATACCAGAGCTGATGGCTGCCCGCTCTGCCATGGACTTCAGGGAGCTCAGAGGTTCAGGAGCCTAGGAAGAAAAGAAAGGGTCTGTACTAAGGGCACAGGCCAGAGATTGCTAAGAACAGCCTGTCAGGCCCCAAGTACTCTTGCCTGTTCTGCTGAGAGCCATCAACGGCAATTACTCATGCCTTAAGATGTACCTAAGGCATGGGGTTATGAATGATGGTGGAATGTGATGATCATTATTATCCAAAGTACAGGTATGAAGACACGAATTGGTGTGAATATACTGTGTATATAACCAGAGAGATGAAAACTTGTGCTCTATATGTGTAATAAGAATTGTTGTGCATTCCGCTGTCATATTAAAAAAAAAAAATGTACCTAACATGTAAAAGAACTGCTGTGGGGAAAACTGGAAACTGTGTGGACTCTCCATTGTAGAATACGACCTACAGAATACCGATTGTGCCACCGTTTGTCTTAAGACATTCCTAAAAGGACCCCAAACTCTGGGGAAAAAAAGCCACTTGACTACCTGGTATTGTGGGGCATCTTATGGAGGTGGGAGGTCTCATTCCCTTGGGAGTGAAAGGTTATCCCTCTGGGACTTGGTGCCCTCTTTGGGAATACCGGCAAGTTGGACTGGTATTAACTGGGTTGGAACTGACTTCTGCTCCCTGCAGTCAGGGCTGCTCCTCCACCCATTCTGTACCACACTTCGGTCACCAAGGCCCATTCACCCTGCATCCAAATATCCTGGATAGACCCATTCCATCCCCTGGCCATGCCCGGAGCTGCCCAGGCCTTCATACCACCTTTTGTTTCACCCACAGCAGTCCACAGGGACCTCTCCAGCAAGCTGTCTTTGTCCCTTCTCTACCCAAAACCTTGCCAAAGCTCCCATGTTCCACCCCAGTGATTTTTTTCCTTTTAAAAACCATGGACTCCTTCTCAAAGTTGCTTATTCCGTTTTCCAGAAAAGCATACACCATGAATTTTCTGATACCTATGCAGTTTGAAAGCTTCTTCTAGGTCAGAAACTATTCCAAGGGCCTTATAAAGAATGATCTGGCAAAAATTCCTATGTGGCTTGTGTTAACAGTGAGGATTTCTACTTTTCAATGAAGAGAAAGAGGCACAGACAGGACAGCCAGGACCTGGAGCTGGACAGCCTGGTCGGGTTCATAGGACACCCCCTTGCTATGTGTGCAGGCTCTTCCTCTGCTGAATCCACCCAGACTGCCTGGGCTGATCAGTGCCTTTCCCAGAATTCCTCTGGCTGTCAGTTCCCACCTATCCTATGCACACAGCTTATGCATCAGGCCCCTCATAGCCTTCCTGGACGTGCCCCCCAGAACAGGTCAGGTACCCCTCTGCAGCCCACAAGAGCCTCCGCTGTGGCCACCTGATCACACACAGCCCCCTCTAGCACTGGAACAATTCCTGAGGGCAGGAACCAGCACAAAACCTGGCTCAGAGAAATGACCTGAACAAATATTTTTTTTGCTTTTGGTACTGGTGATTGAACCCAGTTGTGTTCTACCACTCTGCTACATCCCAAGTATTTTTTTTTTTTTTTTTTTAGGTAGGGTCTCATGATGTTTGAGACAGGGTCAGCAAGTTGCCTAGATTGGCCTCAAACTTGTAATCCTTCTGCTTCAGCCTCCTTAGTTGCTGGGATTATAGGTGTGACACCACACGCCACTCAAGTGTTTTCTTGATTGAAATGGTCTTTTAGAAGGCCCAAGGGCATGGTGACTTAGGGAATGGGCATGTGAAGTAGAAAGTACCATGCATCTCAGGACAGGACAGAGACTGAGGGTCTGGGGAGATAAAAAACAAACCCATGGAAAGCAAGCGCGCAAATACAACCAACAGAGAGGGAAAGAAGACCAGAGAAACACAGTCCCAGAAAGAGCCAAGGAGGTTGAGAGCACCAGAGATGGAGGTGAGGATGTGGGGTAGAAAAGGTCCAGATAAAAGAACAAGTGAGAAAAGGGAAGAAAAAAACAGATGCACATTCAGAGAGGAAGGGGAGGTAGAGGTATTGCTGGAGACCTGGAGCAGGGTGCAGGAAAACACCTGGAGGCCACAGTCATCAGGGATACTCAGAGCTCACCTTGACTTCTGGGGTGGTGCTGAACTGCGGAGGTCCATTAAGCAGAGCACCAGCTGCCTTGGCCTCACTGAAGCTGGGCGTTGGGGAGCTGGGGGGGTTCACAGGCAGTGGCACTAGAAGGCTGGGTCCCCCTGAGTTGTTCCCTGAGCCTGGGGCCACACCGCCAGCCCCTGTTGGGGCTGCCGCACTGGATTCTTTCCTGGGAAGAAGATGAGAAGGGGAAGTGGCTCAGAGGAAAGTCGTAGGAGTGATGAGCACAGAGAAGCCAGATGGGCTCTGAGAGGGGCTATTTAGGACAGAAGCAGTTTTTTGGGACCAAGGTAGAATTAATTTCTGGGATTTTTTCCTCAGTAAAGCAGAGCTACTGGAGTGGGAATACAGATTCTGAAGATGCTCAAATAGGCCATGAGGTAAAGAGAGAATGGGGGGGGGGTATGTCCTCAGGTAGATGGACACAGGGCAGGTGCCCCTGGGGCAACCCAGCTAGAGCTGGGATGGAGGAGGAGGAGGATGACAGGTCCTTCATTTAGCATTCTTTCAAAAACAGGTGGACCCAGAGGAGTGCTCTGACTTAAACTTTGGAGGAATGACTGGAAACAAAGGAGGATTTGTGGACATTTCACTTGGAAAAGTGGAACAATGTCCCATCCAGTGGGAGTCAGCCTTGGGGCAGGAAACGGAAATGGTGAGAATATGGTGGGGTACTGGAGAAAAGTCCCAGTGAAAGGAAGGTGGATTTAGGACAAGGTACTGGATAAAGCTAGAGGCTAATGCACACCTCCCAGGTGAAGAGAAGTGGAGATAGGACACCTAGCAAAGGTGGAAGTCAAAGCCCACTGGACGCCCTGCCCATCAAGGCCAGGTTAGCAATCCCCCAATGAGGGAGCCACCAGAGCCTATGTGTTCCAGGAGAGGCTGCAACTGCCGCTGCCAAGACACTCACGAGGTGCTGGGAGGTGGATTGTGGGGACCTGAGGCCGGACCCAGGGCCTGGCTGCTAGCACTGTTGCCTCCACTGCTGCTCAGGGCCACCTCTGCAGGGCTGTCTGCCACGACTGAGCTGTAGCCTGGGGGAGCAAAAGGCAAAGAGAAAGGGGCTGTTGGCTACTCCCTGTCCTGCTCCAGGCCCCTCCTCCCACCCTGCCAGCCTCACTTACTGGTGGCACCGTTCTGCTTGCCAGCCCCTCCACCTGTGCTGCTGTTACTATTACCGCCGCTCCCTCCACCACCGCCACCACCACCCCCGCCAGGCTGGGCACTGGGGGGTCGGGGCTGGGCAGCACTGGGCCCACTGGGGGCTGGTGGGGCCACAGCCTGAGCATAGGGGGCAGGGGTGCCCGAGTTGTGGCTGGGAGCTGGACTGGCCTTAGGGCCCAGGGCACTTGGGGGTGCTGCTGGGGCAGGTGCCCCATTGTTGCCAGGGGTGGTGCTCAAGGCAGAGGTGGCAGGCGGGGGACCAGAGGGGTAGGTGGGTGGCATAGCTGGGGACTGGGGATGCTGGTTGCTGTGGACAGGCTTGGAACCATTTTTGGCTGGAGACTGCAGGAAAGAGAGAACAGTGTCAGGACCCAGTGGATCAGCAGGTTCCCACCCACCTCAGGCTCAGGCTCCATCATGGTCCTACCAACCTCTTCTCTGAACTTGCTGCCCTTGACTGCTCCCAAACTCCAGGGAACCGGGGGACCTCATCCTAACTGCTTCAGTCATCTTCGTGCTCAAAACACATTTATTTCCAGTCTGCCCAGCTCCCTAAATTCTGCCAGGACACCTCCCCATGTACCCTATGGTGATCTGGCACAACTCTTGCTGTCAGTCAGCGAAGACCCATCTGTTGTTGGTCAAAAGGGACTAGTGGGAGACTCCTAAATGCCCTCAACATGAGAGGAGCCGGAGCAGCCTCATGTTCAAGAGTAGAAGAAAACCAGCTGACAGTCAAGCACTGCTTCTGAATGTCACTGAAAGGACCACTACAGCCACTCATGGGGTCATACGTTACAGCACTGCAGAAAGCAGTAGCAGAGCATCCCTGCTGCAGCCAAGTTCTGACAGACAACGTGGGCTGCCATACCAACCAACTTGTGGACATTTTTTCACCACCACATGGGAAACTCAGGCTCACCAGGCACCAAATGGGACTGGCTACCCACTTCCCTCCTGGGACTGCTATTTGGCTGTGGGGGCCCAGGAAGGTGGCAGAGCCCACCTGGGAGTCCCTGCCCCAGCCTCTCTCTCACTGCTCCTAATCCTGGTCCCCACACCAGTCTCACTGATGTCCACCAAGGGTCTCTCCCTTGGACCACCCCTCTCATTGGCCCACAGCGGGCCTTAGGCCCATTCTGCCCTTCCTAACGTCATCCTTGTGTGTTCCCACCCAGGTAGTTCCACAGCAGGTGTCTGCTTTCAACTTATCGCTTCTCCGTCTTGCTTGGCCCCTTCAGGGCCGGTCCACAAAGCCCTAGCTCTGTAGCTCAACAATCCCAGGCCAGACTCATCCCACTTGTAAGCTTCCGGTCGGAGCTTGCCCTTGTGAACTGCGGCTGCCTTGTCTTCTTCTGGCGCACAGGGCACGGACACCTGAACCACAGCGGTCAGTCACCTGCCTATCTCCCCTCAAGGTGCAACGATTTCTGAGCCTCCACTCGACTAAGCCTAGCACAGTGGCTAGCACTCAGACCTGAATAAGCCTTTGGGAACCACTGGATAAACAGGGGACATGCCCATCCATTACTGGCTTGAACCCACCTGGCTGACTTCACTATCTGTCGAGCGTCCTCTCTTCTTATCATCTTCAGAGTTCTCCTGGTTGGAGGAGGTGGAGTCAGACACCTGTGTGGCTCTTAGGTCCCAACACAGAGACACCATAATCTCTGAACCTCCTGGGGACCTGGACCCAGCTGAATGACTTTGTACCCCAGAGTTGTCCAAATACCTAACCTTAATTTTTCTGAAGAAACCACCTACATTCAGGTTCCCCAATGTCCTTGTCTTTTGGGAGCTGGCATTAATGCTCCCATCTTCCTAACAACCTAGGAACCTTCTCTCCTTAGGGAATTTCAGTCCTTGGATCCCTGCCTGAGCTTGCTGCCCAGGGCCTTAGGTGCGCCCTACACTGGCCCCACACACCCAAGACCCACCCATGGCTTAAGACTGTGTGGGACACCAGGGTCCACCTATCAGCTCTTTACATCCGGAAGGGCCTCAGCTGCCCTCCCTGCAGCCACTTTGGAGAAAACAGGCTCCTGTTAACTCCCATCCTCCTGGTTATAGTATCTTGCTACTCTGGGTCCTCACCGTGGTGCAGTTGGCTGGACTGGGGGGGATGGGAGAGCTGGAGGTGGTCGAGGTGGGCGTGCTGCTGGACTGGTTGAAGATCTCGTCCTCCATGTGGCTGTGGCTGGGGGGGGAGGTGGCGACCAGCGCCTGTGCTGTGGAGGCAGGAGAGGGGCATGGTTAGCTGGTGCAGCTGACCCTTTGGGGCCTTCATCCTCTGCACCATGAAGGTCAGTCTAGGGCCTTACGAATGTCCTCGAGATCCAGGTCATCATAGAGGAACTCATTCTCCTCAAAGTCAGGGTCCTGAGAGGAGTCAACGTAGTACTCAACATCATCCTTGATCTTGCGAATGGCATCCACGAGGATGGAGTCATTGTCCAGCATGCGCAGGATGGTCTCCAGCATGCGCACATGGTAGCGGTGCTTCTCGATGTGCCGCTTCAAGCCCTCAATCCGGTCCTGCTTCTGCTGGCGAGCCCAGGGCCAGGCTCAGGGGCTGCAGAGTGCCTGCCCGGCCCCTCCTGCCCCCACAGAACCTGTCCTCAGTCCCCAATCCCCATGGTGACCCGGAGGCTCCACTCTGGCCCCTCCCAGCATGGGGCAGTGTGGAGTCTGCCCACCCTCTACCCCACAGGAACCAAGCTCAAGGTTTCTGACATCTCAGGGATCCCTACCACACCCTCCCTAGACCCTTTTTGTCTCCGGCGAGCCCTGGAAACTGGTGAAAGACTAAGATGCTCCTATGCCACCTGCAGCCTCTCAAGTGAGCCCCCACCTGCTCTGACCTCCTGGGATAAACACCCATTCTCCTGTCTCAACCTAATAGTAACAATGACAGTTCCTGTCTGAGGATCTGCTTCTTGTAATCATGGCACATCCATCACCAGCCCACACACCTATCTATACCCCTAGAGACCCAGATCCAGAAGCCCAGCTCTTGCCTGCTCCCAAGGTCCCAGTTCCTTTTTGGATTTGACATCTTAGATCAGTTTCAAATTTCTCCTTTCTTCAAGGAACCACTCTCTCTCTCTCTCTCTCTCTCTTGAGTTCCTACTTCCCAAACTTCTCAGGGTCTCACATCCAACACTGTCATAGCTCCCACCTCCAACTTTCCTAGTGAACCCCATCGGTCATTATTTGTATTCCTCTGAATCCACACCCTACAATCCTAGAGTAGAATCCAGGACTCCAACATCTGACTTCATCCCAGACCACTCTTCTCCTTCAGGCCATACCCATTGCTCTCAGAGCCCTGTCTTGTCCTGCCACCCTCTCCTGAGAATCTGGGCTCTAGGTACTATGTGGCCTCCCACCTATGTCACCTTTCAGGTCTCACACTTACTTTGTGGCCCCAGCTGAACCTGAGTTCATTTTCCTCCAAACTGCTCCTCTTTGTGATGGCCTCGCTATCTCCCATCTACCCAGACACCTTGGGCCTGATTCTGTCTACCTCCTTCCTGTACTACCTCTCCAAGCCCTCACCCCAGGTTTGCTCAGGCATCCAGACCCAGTTCCCATGGGCTCCCACTTGCTAGCCCACCTCCATCTTCCACCCCATGGGTCTCGGGGCTCCCCCCACTCACATCCTTGTCGCCCTTCTTCTTGCGCGTTTGCACTGACAGCGATTCCACTTCACTCTCAAACTGGTCCACCTGCATGTTTAGGGTGTCGATGGTATTCTACAGGGGGAGAAGGCTATTAGCCAGGGGTCCTGGGTGTGCTGGGGCCAGGACTCCAAGCTCACCTCTTCTTCTCTGCCCCAACTCACCGTGAGCCACTGGCCAACCTCTTCCTTTTCCTTCTGGGCGGGATCCACCTTCTGTGCCAGGCCCAGGCCCTCCTTGCTATAGGCTTTGGTTTTGGTCTCTCTTTCCACAACTTTGAACCGTTCCATTTGCTGCAGAGAAAGCAGCAGGGGGGGGGATGTTGTGGGAATGGAACTAAGGGCCAGCAACATCTGAATCTGAGCCTCAGGACCCATCCCTCAGACTCTAGGCCCACTGCCTCTTCCCTTCCTCCTGGGATCTCTGGAGTGACTGCTCCATCTCTGCGCCCTGGGGTCCCAGGAATCTGGCTACCACCCTGGTTAGGGACCTAGGCTCTGAGTTCCTACCGTCTCAATAAGCTTGCGGTTGTCAATAAGCTGCCTTTTGTCCTTGATCTCATTGGATGCTACCCATGTCTTGATCTGGTCCCTCAGCCGCTGCAGAGAAGAGAAGCAAGAAAGTCAGATCTTGGATCTGGGAACCAGGACCCTCAGCTCCCTCTTTTCCTGGGACCCAGTAGTCCACTCTCCCAGGCCCTCCTCCCACAGGACACAGGAGTCCATCCCCAGCCCCCTCACTTGTAGCTTCTTAATCTCCTTCTTTAGGTCAGCCTCATACTTTTCTTTCTGGTTCGCGTTGGCTGCGTTGTGGAGCTGAGGGATGGAGAATCCAGCAGTCAGTGTGGGAGTGGCTGTCCCGAAACCTGCTCCATGGAAGGTCCAGTCTCTCTTCCTCAGGCGGGGGACTCTGACACCCACCCCAGCCCCCGCCATCCATTTTTAAGCTGGTTCTCATAGGTCCTCAGCACCAGGATATACAGCCCCCTCCCTTGCCAACACCCAGAGACCCCCAAAGCGCTTCCTGTGTTCTCCCTGGAAACCCAGATTTTTAGGGCCCTTGTACCTTCTGCCAAATATCTTCAAACTGCTCCACACCCTCGGACACCTTCTTGAGGCAGCGATCAATCTCACCTGTGAGGGAGGACGGCAGGCTGTTAGAATCCTGCCCATTGAGCAGCCAAAGAGGAACCCCCCAAAGAGAGCACTCAGCTACACGTGCAGTGGGTAGTCAATCCGGTACCTTGGAGTTTGCGCTTGTCCGCCATCTTCCCTGCCCTACAGACGCACTCTCTTCATACTCCCTTGGAGACAGACGCTGCTGGCAAAGATTGGGAAGGAATTAACACCTATTCCTCTGCTGGTCCACAGACATGAACACGGGTGGGAAATGTGGGGTAAGAGGCAGGGTAAAGGGAAAAAATGTGTACTATCTAATGAGAAGCTGGGTCCAATTCTCCTTATGCTCCCTCAATTGCCCAGCTGCGATACTCTGGGAGTTTTGTTAAAATGAGGAAAGACACTTTTTGTGGTCCTCTGACCCAGGAACTGGAAGGTTCCTAGAGTACAGAGCATCCTTTCCCCAGATAACCATCCAAGGATTTTGTAGAGCAGGACAGTCATACTGCACAAGGCTGACTACAAGACAAAGGCACTAGCCCTAGAAATCACACTTCCTACAAAAAGGGACTGGGAACAGGGGTGACTAGAAGTCATTCCTCAGGCAAGCCAAGAGACAAGCGACATGAAGGCCTGATACTATGTATGCACCCATGAAGTGTGCAAGAGGGAGGGGACGCTGGGGCAAGGTGGAAGAGTGACAGGAGATACCTAAAACTAAGAAGAGTTAAACCCCATCCTACCAGAGAGGGCGTAGATCTCCAAGAAATTTACCCCAGGGCAGAATCCTTGAGCCAAAAGGGAACAATACTAACCCAAAGAGTGTGATACCAAGAAGGGCAGGTGATTTGGGGGCAGAAAGCAGTACCCAAGAGAGAGTTGGGAAAAGATAGAAATCTTACAAAGATAAGAGGATGTAAAGGTACCTTAGCCACAAGGGAGTTGATCTGCACACGCAAAGAAATTCCATATCAAATAGACTGGTAATTTAGACTCAGAGGAACCTATACCACCAGGGCAGGCACCCAGAACTTTGCCCTAAGGAAAGTTACATGCAATCCAGGGGAGACCACAGTCTTTTTAGTCACGCTGAAGCCACACCACAGGGCTCAACACGGAGACCAAGGGACCCTTGGGAGGAAGGACCATGCTAAGAGGACTTTTGAGTTGCAAGCACAGGTTGCCTTCCCCAGGGGCCTACACTGAAAAGCAAGGATCCAAGGACATTCCAACTCCTCTGGCAAAGGGCAGGGGTACCCACAGTTCCTACTGTGAAGGCAGCAACTGCTTCACATGGAGGACTAAGAGTCTCAACCTGGTGGTACCACACCAGGAATCCTCACCAACAGGTAGGAAACACCCAGGGGACAGTCCTGTCCAATAGCACGTACAATGTGGGAAATGTTCCACAGCCTCTGAATTGGCTGGCCTCTGAATTCTTGAAGGGTGGCCAGTGCAACTAAGGAACTTACTTTAAAATATATATATATATTTTTCACAGTATGTTGCTCAGGTTTTCTAGTTCCAGGCTCAAGCAGTCCTCCTGCCTCAGTCTCCAAGCAGCTGGGTCTACTGGCAAGAACCATCATACCCAATAACTTCTTTTATTTTAAAGTTGTTACTAGTTGCCACAAGGGCTAGCACCTAGTGAATGAGGCACTATAAAGACAGCAGGCCTTAAGACATGAGGCATAGAAAGAAAGAACAGAGCCATACCTTCACCACAGGGTTTACTATTTTTGTTTTTACTGATCCCATAGGGACCTATTCCTGCGGATGGAGATAGGTGGAGGTGGCACCTGAGACTCAGGGGACTCAGTACAGGGTCATTTGAAGAAAAGCAGTACCTCAGGGTCAACGGACACAAATGCGGGGAACCTCCAGGAAAGTGAAGCAACAGGACACAGAGGACAGTCCCAGTGAGAGAACTCAAACTGGGTTGGGGCAAGTACCTTTGATCCAGCGTCCTTCTACCAGGGCCCAGACACCAAAATGCAGCATGCAGGGATGTTGACCAAGAGTGAGTACTGGCTCCAACACGCCAGCACAAAAAAGCCCCTACTTCATCAGGGACAGAAACTTTACAAGACTTTACACTCCCCCCTTCCACCCCAAGTGTGCAACAGAGGGTTAGAGGCTGGAGGGAGAAGTCATCTCATGGTTCACATTCCTAAATAAGGCTCTCTACACCTTAAGGAAGTGACGCCCTCCCCAAATCCCATACCAAAGGGGTTGGGACCTTAGTCAGGGGAGGAGCCGATACCCCCCAGGAGGGATCATGCTGTGGCACCAAGGAGGCGCAAGTCCTGAAGGAGTCAGAAGCAAGGGGCCAGAGGAGCGGGATGGTGCTGGGGCAGTGCTTCTGACATCAAGGTGGGCACAGCTGCTACTGGTGTGGACAATACCTGGTTGGGGAAAAGCATCTCCACAAGAGAAGGGGCAAGTGCCACAGGCCCAGGGTACTCCTCCCTGGGATGCTGGAGTCTCAGCTCAGTGGAGGAAACACTCTCTCCTCATGAAGAACCCCTGCCCCCAAGAGGATGCCTGCACACCAGATGCCCCATCCCCAGCAAAGGTACAAAGAGAAAGGAGGCTGGTGCTGCAGCACGGAGGATCCTCATCCAAGGCTTCCTCGAGACCCCCCCCTAGCAGTTAACTACTTCAGGGCCTGTGAAGAAGGGGTGCCTTCACACCAAACATGTGCTCAGACAGTGGGGTCTGAGACAGAACTGAAGAATCTGGGACTCTTGGCCCAGAACTGGCCCAACCACAAGGATCTCATGTTCATCGCCAAGTTAGGAGCTCAGGCTGAGGGGGCAGGAGGGATGAGCCACACACCAGAGCAGGGAAGCCAATAACAAAGAGGCCCCAGAACTTCACCTCAGGCGCCATGAGGGGCACAAAGCTTAGTCCCTAATCCTGGGGCCATCACATGCTCATACAGAGATCTCGGTGCAAAGTGCCTTTGATCTAGGAGAGCTTACACTCTAGACAAGGAACTCTGGTGAGCAGTGTCACAAGGCAAGTCTCAACTTGGGGAAGATGCAGGCAGCAGGGTAGCAGGTCATGGGTGGAGGTAGTTATATTCCCTGGGAGAGCCCAACACCAAGGGTGGGTATGGGAATTCCCACTGTGGAATTATAGCAGAGCACTCTATTCCCTGGGAAGGTGGTCACATGAGGTATCTCCAGTCTCAGGCACCTCATACTCCCACAATAGAGTGGGACCCACAGCAAGGTCTTTGTGATTACAGGGTCAGAGATGAGAAGCACTGGCCAAGAGCACCCCAACCCAAGGGGGTCCTTAGTCTCACTAGTGAAGACACATGGGGGCATGGACACCTCAAAACCAGGAGAGGGGACAATGTCAACACCAAAGAAAGCAGGGACCTTATTCCTGGGAGTGGTAACACCAAGACAAACTCCTTACCCTGGAAAGAAAGCACAACCCTAGAGAGAAAAGCCACCTCTCCCATCAGAAGCCTTAGGTCTGAGAGGTTTTCCATCCCTGTGGGGTGACAGGTGGGAGGCCTGCAAGCCCATATTCTACAACTTCCTAAACTCAATGATGGGACAATCACACCCCCATAGAAGAGTTCTCTCCAGAATACCAAAGGGGAAGGGGCTCTTGGCTCCTGGGGTGACAACACCCAAAACCAGATGTCTCAGACTCAGGGAAGGCACAACCCCTGGCGTGGCGAACCTTCACCAAAAGGGCAGAAGGCTAATCCTGGGGGAGGTTACAGCTCCTGCACCAAAAAGCAGCTACCACTCAGAAAAACAGGCGCGTGCCCTGCCCACGCCGGGAGCTCACCAACAGCACGGAGAGTGGGCTCGGGAGGCTTCACCCAGACCCGGGGAGCTAACCGGCCCCGACACCCGCACCGCGGTGGACTTGACACCCGGAGAGGCAGGCGGTGTGCATCCAGGGGACCCGGCACCCCCGAAGCAGAAGCGGCACCCAGCCCCAGATAACAGGGCGGG